TCCAGGCTGAGGGTAAAAAGATCTTAGAACAGAGCCTGAGGGAATCAACCAAGAGGTGGAAGGAGGATGAGAAGCCTTTAAGGCAGCCTGAGGTCAGCAGAGAAGTTGCAGACTTAGGAGAGCATAGTGTCGGAGGGACCATCGAAGAAGAGAAGGATGTGGAGGGGGTGGAGGTGGGGACTAAAAGGATCCATCAGAGTCAATAGTAAGCAGATCATTGGTGGTCTGGGTAAGAGCAGTTTCAATGGCGTGATGGGAAAGTGGGTTGCAGAGTGCATGAGAGGTAGAAAAGCAAAATCTGGGACTAGGGATAACCCTTCTTTTGCAAGATTCTACCTGTGAAGGGGATGGGAAGATGAGGTGAGACATGGAAGAGGAGAGTGATAAGTGGAACAGGACAGTGATAGGACAGAAGGCAATTATTTAGAAACTAAATGATAAGGACAGACGAGGTGATTCAAATGCTGATGAGAAATAGACAATTGGGAAGAAAATGTTCATGAAGCAGGAGGCACAGGGCAGTGATAAGTGCAGAGGGGTCTCTGAGAAGGGGGGCTCGCCTGGTCCAGAGTGCAGTGGGATCGACTGGCCTTGGACAGGAGGACAGACCTAGTGCCAATTAACAACCAACCACAAAAACCCAGGCGTATACACCAGTAAGTGTATATGTCCCCACTTCTGGAGTCAGCTGGGGGTCAGTTAAGTGGGTCCACTGGTCTTGACTGGACTCACCGCTCTGGACTTCACTGCTGTCCACTGACCCGGAGGTGACTAGAGTGACTGGGCTCTGTGCCACGTGAACCTCAGCCTCATCTTGGGACTGGTGCCCAGCTCGGCTTGTCCTCCTCATGGTGATGGAGGGATGCACGGGAGCAGGCCCCAGTGGCCATGCCCATCTTCAGCCTCTGTTTGTCTTACCTCCTAATACCCCTCTAGCCAAAGGGTGTCACGTGACTGTGCCCACTCTCAAGTCATGGGACCCACATCGCAAAGTTAAATGGCAGAGAGCAAAGGTTCAGGGCAGGATGAAGAAATTCTTAACACAGATAAAAGAGAAATACCATTTTGACATTTTGTCAGACACAAGAAGAAAAAGAAGTTTGCAAGGAACCAAGGGAAAAAGGCAAATTAAAGGCCGGGCTATTCACGCCTCTTCCATTTCCGCCCAGGTGCTACTACATTATTTATGTCTGGAAAGGTTAACGCTCGACTGTGGTTAACGAGTAAAGCAGTCTGGAGGGGAACATGGCTGATAGGGCCAGCATCACCTTATAAAACTTAATGACAGCAAAGTCAGCTTTAGTGCTGTTGTAGAGGGAAGAAGCCCTCCACCATCTCACAAAGTAGGTAGCATCTGCTCGTGGGCAGAAGAAAAAAAAATATTATCTCCAAAGCTTGTTTATGAAAGATGAGTATTGGACTGTGAAAGAGTTTAAGAGCGTATGTGAGAGAGAGAGAGGAGTGTCTGCAAGAGGGAGGACCAGACGGCTACAGCTTACGACCAGGTTACACCTGGAAGGGCGAGAAGTTAGCTCCCGGATCAGTGAAGTCCAGGAAAACAGGAACATGAATCTGTGAGAGGGGGCGCTCTCCTCATTTTCTTCCTATTTCCAGGCGGGACCATTCCACAAATACCTCCTTCTGCTTTGGAAGCAGTACAGATGCAGGCTGCTCTGAGTTTTATAAATAACTGGCCCAGAGGTACATGGTTCTTTTCTGCTGACACAAACCAGGGGTCTCCACGTGGTGCCCCTCTTCATTCACTTCTTGTAGTGAGAAGTATTCCCTGTTGGAGCACTGATGAAATATAGTATCTCATTTTGGCCAAACTAACTCTCAGAAAATGGACACATAACTTTAAAGTTTCCTGCAAAGAAATAGCAGTTAAAAGTCAGACACCGGGGAAATGGCTGAGTGGACACGAGCCCACCGCAGGAACCTGTTCTCCGCAGTCAGCCACACTGCCTGGTGGAACAGTAGTGATCTGCTCCTTCTAATGAGAATCATCCAAATAAAAAAAAATGCAAATAATGAAGATTATTTAAAATATTACGTATTTGCATCCACTATCATAAACTGTCATTAATTTGCTGCAGGTGTGTGTCGTACCTGACGCTATGCTGAATGTGAGAAGGAAGACATCCTGACTAGTAGAATATCCAAGAGTTGAGCAATTAGAACACAGACACCAACTTCTACAATAGCCTCAGCAATATTTTAAGGCAAATGATACTCAATCCAGTATTTTTTAACATGTCACTATACCACAATAAAAAACATCTATTAAAGCTTCTTACTCAGGAAGATGCAAAAGACCACACATCTTTCTGTGCTCTTCCTTTGGTGGTAAAAATGGCTAAACCATGTGGAAAAGAGGATGGCCACAAACTAAAGTGGATTCCTTTATCAGTAGACTAGTGGCTCGGTACACGAAAATTCGTGCACTCAGGGGGGTCCCTCAGCCCAGCCTGCGCCCTCTCGCAGTCTGGGACCCCTCAGAAGATGTCCACCTGCTGGCTTAGGCCCACTCCCTGCGGACATCCTTAGCGCTGCTGTGGAGGTGGGAGAGGCTCCCACCACCTCCATTGCACTGGCCAGCCATGAGCAGCGCTCCCCTGTGGAAGCACACTGACCACCAGGGGGCAACTCCTGCATTGAGTGTCTGCCCGCTGGTGGTCAGTGCACGTCATAGCGACCAGTCATACCCTGGTTGTTCTGCTATTAGGGTCAATTTGCATATTACCCTTTTATTATATAGGATAAGATTAAAAGAGGGTAGAATTTGTTGAAAGTTAGAAGAAACGAGTACAAAACAAATGACACCAACTGGGAGGTTGGTTTGGGGTATAAGTATAGATGTTGTCTAAGTTAATGGTATTACTAGGTTCTTTTCCAATAATGAATAGTGTAAAGTGACTATTTTAGTGACTCTTTTAGTGAGTCACTAAAGGAAAGAGGCACTAGAGAAGATATGTTCTCCATGGAAAATTACTTCTTAAAAACCGAGTGAATGTTACCACCAGTGAAGCAGGTGGTTTGATTGGAGGAAAACAGGATTCGGAAGAAGTCAGGCTACAGAGTTGCCCCATGTGTGAAATTTAGAGAGTAGTTTGTTTTTTCCTAAGCAAGCGATTGCAGCAAAGAAGCGGAAGCCAGAGTTTCACAGGGTGGCACTCTCAAACCTGACTGTGTGTGTTTGGCATGAATGTGTGTATGAGTCAGCTGAGCCTTGTTAAAATGCAGATTCTGAGTCAGTCTGTAGCCTGGGAGTCTGCATTTCTAAAAGCTCCCAGGTGACACTGATGTTCCTGGTCCGGAACCAGTAAAGAAATAGTAAAATAGTAAAGAAATATAGAACGTTAGGGTTGGTATTGATTTTTTGTTGTTAATTCTCACCTGAGGATATTTTTTTACCACTGACGTTTTAGAGAGAGTGGAAGGTAGGGGTAGAGACAGAGAGAGAGAAACGTCAATGTGAGAGAGACACATCGATCTGTTGCCTCCTGCACATGTCTCAACGAGTGTCGGGATAGAACCTGCAATTGAGATACATGCCCTTGACCAGAATCCAAACCTCGACCCTTCAGTCTGTAGGCCAACACTCTAACCACAGAGCAAAACCAGCTAGGGTAGGGTTAGTATTGATTTTATAAAAATAAGATCATTTACAATATAGTGAAATCTTTAGATTATTTTTTAGTGACATGGAGAGATCATATAAATCATTTGTGCACAGAGAGGTGTGCTGGTTCTATTGTGGCCTTAGGATGTGCTGTTGATTGTGCTTTTGCAAAAATACCATAGTTTTCCAAAATCTGGCCTTTTACATAATGACAAATATCTAGTAATAGAATTCTATCTAGCGGGTATTAAATAAATTAGTTAATACACCTAATCTGTTTCTTACGATAAAAGGGGCAGTTCACCAATGAATAAGAAAGTAACAACTTTTCCAAAGAAACCTGTGCTAGGAAAGACTGCTGTGAAAATCGAGTAGTCATCATTATATGAGTTTGTTGTTGAAAATGACACTGTGCCACTTATAAAAACTTTCATGTCTTCACACTAAGAAACTAAATGTTCTTTAAAAAAGGGGGGGCATATGTAATACTTTCAACAATAAAGATTTTTTTTTAAAGAAACTAAATTTTCTAACATTTAAAATTCACTCACATGCTTAACTTTGAACACATTTTATAAAAATATAAAACCAAAGCTATATTCCATCCCTTCTGATTCATTTCTAAGAAAAGAATGTTGATATCGGGGACTATAGAAAGGTGTTAGCTGAATTTTCACAAAAGCCTTTGTATAATTGGTGAATATGATTGAGCAATGAATACCATGATTCAATAAGGGGGGCCAATGTTGCATGCCTCCCATTTGCATCTATGAAATATCTTTTCTTCCCTTTTGACAGCATTATAACCAAGTAAGAATATAAACCAAACATAGACCTAGCCTACTGAACAAGTATATCACAAAGTCCTAAACCAAGAATTTAAAACATAACAAAGCATATTCAATTGCATTGTTCTCACCAAGAATATTAATAATGTGTAAAAGATTTTAGTAGGAATAAAATGTTATCATTAAAAAAATGAAATACTTAAAAGCATCATTTGTTTCTTTTTTTCTTATCCCTTTTAAATTTATGTATTTTGTATGTTATGTACATAAAACATAGGTACAATAGTACATTTAAATAATTTATGAATAATTTATAAATGAATACATATACTTTTTAAGGGGTTGTTTACTTTTTTTTTTTTACCTAATGAGATGTGCAATCCCCAAATATCAGATGATACTGATATAAATTTACACATTTATAAATCCTGAACTCTGAATGGTCATTTTCCTTTATTCATTCTATAAACATTCATTACACGCAAATATTGTCTTAATAAGTGCTGATTGCATATATATTCTAAAAGACATTTAACTTCAGGGTAATCAGGTTTTGTTAGCATTAAGCAAACATATAAATGGGCCATTACCTTAGAAAGAAGAAAAAGTTATCCCTCCGGTTGGTTAAGCAGCTGTGCTGTAGAACGCCCCCGGTCTAGATCACTCCTGTAGAATACTCAGTATGCATTTCTTGCACCCCTAGTATGCCTGGTGAAGAAGTGTGAGCCAAGGGGAGGATGTGGTTCCAGGGATCTTAATGTGACTCAGTGGGATCCCTGCTGCTGACTCACAAGTCCACCCATTAGGCCAGCACTCTTCAGGGGAGCTGTGCAGAAAAGCCTAAATGCCCAAACAGGAGCTTTGTCTAAATGTTGCTTCACATTTCTGTGTAAGAGCTCTATCTCTTTCTTTAGAAAAGAGTTTCTGAGGAATGCTTATCACAAAGACAGTTTGTATAAACTGCCTCTTGTGAAACCATTGCTGTGACTTTGCTAAGATAAGTCCTATTGTGCATAATCACTACTTTCTAGAAGGCCCAAGGAGAAAACTCAAAAAAAGGAGATATTTGACTCCTATTTGAAGACAAGTAGGAATTACTTTCTTAGCATTACAAAGAATCTGGGGCAGAATCCTGTGTTCAGGATAAAGGAATAGGTGGTTTTTCCTCTCTCTTCCTACTTCTGATATAGGGAAGAAAGTAAAAGAGCTAGTGCTGAGAAAAAGGGAATTGAAACACCTGAGGAACTAAGTCATCAGCAGGCTTTAAATGAGAATAGAGCTAGCAGCTGAGAGGAGCCACAAAGCTTTGCCACATGAATCTAGCCTGAAGGTCCATTTCCAGGGTCAGCCTGAGACACAATGTCTCTAAGATGGAATTTATGTCAAAGTGAAAAGAACATTTTAATTATAATATGGCTATGGGAAGAGTTTGATTCAATGGTCATTAATAACTAACATACACAGAGAAAAAAGTGCTTTTCTTTAAAAAAAAGTGCTTATTCTCTAAGAATAAACACCTTTGTTGTTTATTGTTGTTTTAAGTCTGCAATTTTTAAAAGGATACTATATAATTAACAATTAAAAAGTAAAAAATAAATCGTTATAAATCTGCTCGTTTGGACTTGGGCAAACAACTATTTGAATCTAAGGCAGTGGCTCTCAACCTTCCTAATGCCGCGACCCTTTAATATAGTTCCTCATGTTGTGGTGACCCCCAATTTCATTGTTACAAATTGAACATAATTAAAGCATAGTGATTAATCACAAAAACAATATGTAATTATATATGTGTTTTCCAATAGTCTTAGGCGACCCCTGTGAAAGGGTCATTCGACCCCCAAAGGGGTCGAGACCCACAGGTTGAGAACCGCTGATCTAAGGACAAGCACTTGCCCAATAGATTGCACAGAATGATTAAGACACTTACTGCCACCTGGTGGCAACATAAGCTAATTGCAGGAAAAGCACCTGTAGACTGTTTTTATCCCCAACTTTGCAAATAAAGATACATTTTCCCACCTACTTTTTAAAAAAATATATATTTTGATTTTTTTTTACAGAGAAGAAGGGAGAGAGATAGAGAGTTAGAAACATCGATGAGAGAGAAACATCAGTCAGCCGCCTCCTGCACACCCCCCACTGGGGATGTGCCCGCAAGCAAGGCAGATGCCCTTGACCAGAATCGAACCCGGGACCCTTCGGTCCACAGGCTGACGCTCTATCCGCTGAGCCAAACCGGCTATGGCTTTCCCACCTACTTTTATCCTGTCTTTGAAGGTGATGTGAACTCTTAAAGCTATAAAGATGAAGACTGCCAGGTTAGTTGATTCAACAAATCATTATCCAGCATCTACTTGGTATCAGGCACTATCCTAGGCACTGGGGATACAGAGGTGAATTAGAGAGTCAATGACTATGCTCTCGTGATGTTTAAATTCTGGTGAGAAGATAGGTAATGAAGAAATTAATACAATAATTTCTGTTGTTGTTAAGTACCATATGAAAATAAAACAGAGTAATGTGGTAAAGAGTGACTGGGCGAGTTGCTCAGAAAAAGCTTCTTTGAGAAGGTGACATTTGAAATAAAATTCAGCCTTGCAGAGATCTGAGAGAATAGCATTCCAGGGAGTGAGAATAGTAACTGTGAAAGCCCTACAATGAGAGCAACTGTTTGTTTGTAGTGAACCGAGGAGAGATCGGTAAGGTGTTAATTCAGAGAAAGAGGCAGGACCTACATTATGGAGGACCACAAACAGTAATTTGAAATTTATGCTAAGTGCAATAGGAAGTTTCAAGAAATTTAAACACGAGGACACAATGTTTTGCAGCTCCTATCTTCAAGAGTTGGGGGTATTTCCCTATCTGAAATCAGGACCGGCCTTGTGACTCCTATGACCTCAGATTGGGGCAGAAATGATGTGATAATTCTGAAGGCTCAGCCTCAAGAGGTCCTGTAGCTTCCATCTTTACCTTTTTGAGCGGCTTCTGCCACCAGGTAATAAATCCCAGGCTGGACTGCTAAATGTAAGTGAACATATAGAGAACAAGGCCTGGCCAGTAACCACACCAAAGTCACAGATATGTGAATAAAGGGAAATTAATACTCGTGAAACCCAAAAGTTGTCAAATGACTGCAGCTACATGTGTGAACCCACGCACTTCTAGCAGAAGAACTACCCAGCTGAGCCCAGCCTAAGCTACTGACCTACAGAATTATGATAAATAATAAGTTGTTTCAAGCCACTAAGTTTAGGGATGATTTGTTATCCAACATAGATGACTAAAACAGAAGCCATTGGAAAATTTTAATCTGAGGGGGTGCATGTTCCAATATACATGTTAAAAGGTCACTTTAGCATGTCACACTCAGGGGAACCATTGGGGATCAAAGGGGGGAAATGCCAGTGAATCTAAGATATCAAGAAGGAAACACCAGGACTCCAACCAAAATACTTGTCTAAATGGGATGCATTGCCAAGGGCTGGACAGAATGTTCTCATTCAGAAATGACCAATGGAATATTTTATTTAGCAAGGATACATGGCCCATAGCAAATGTTGCCTCCACATTAAAATGGAACTGATAGAATCAAACCCTCTTCTGAGTAGAGCAGGGTTTGCTAAGTCCCCTTACAGCCCTGGTTCTCTGAATGTAACTCCTTCTGCAGACTGATTGCATTTCTGTAGAAATTGGTGAAGCCACTAGAGAGGTAAACCCAAGAGCAGAGTTTAAATCTAAGAAACAAGAATCAGTAATTTATTTCTAGATCTGACCACGACATAACAGTGGGTGTCAGTTTCACTCTCCCACCACAAATAACTATAAAACAATACAAAACATTGCTGAGAAAAAATTAAAGAAGACCTAAATAAACAGAGTAGCATGCAATGTTCATGGTTTTGAAAATGCAATATTGTTAAAAAGTCAATTTTCCCCAATTGACCTCTAGATTCAATGAAATCCCAATCAAAATTCTACCAGGCATTTTTTAAATTAATATGCCCATTTTGAAATTTCTACGGAAATGCAAAGGTGTAGAATAGCATAATAATCTTACAATAAAAGGACAACATTGAGAATTTTACACTCCATGGTTTCAAGATTTAGTATAAAGCTAAAATAATCAAGCAGGTTTGGTATTGGCATCAAGATAGATAAATATATTAATGGAACAGAGTTGAGTCTATAAATAGACCCACACTTCTATGGTCAATTGATTTTTAACAAAGATGTCAAAACGTTTCAGTGGGAAAAAATAGTCTTCTTTAATAAATGGTATTGCAACAACTGGCTCTTCATGTAGAATAATGAATCCAGATCCCTATTTCACATTATATACAAAAAACATTCTAGATGAATTATAATTTTAAACTCTACACTTGGGTTTACCTCTCATCGTGGCTTTCCCAATTTCTACAGAAATGTAATCAGTCTGCAAAAGGAGGATTTCTGCATCCTCTGGTGCTAATGGGTGTGGTTTGTGGGACAATAAAGTCATTTAATTCACTAGCCTAGGACAAACAAGGCACCCTAAAACTAAATCCAGCTCCTAATCCTAGAATAACAGCCCAGCTGTCATAAGCATCTGCTTGGCCTACTGTTGTGCTGTGCTATACCTCTCTTGCAGACCTCGCCTGCAGGGAGAAGTAGTTAACATGGGCAGACTTCATGTGTTTCTGGGCTCTCTGGCCAAAACTCCATCTTTACTACTATTTTAATACCAAACCTCTCTCTGACTTCTAAGACTACCTTTCTTACTTATGCCTGCTAGCCTCATGCCTATCGCCTGATGCCCAGAGGGAGATTTTCGGCCAGGGTCAAGTTTTAAACAATCGTGTGTATGCGTGTGTGTGCTAAGCGCATCATGACATGCTGTAATTATGCCAATGAAGGAATTATTTTCTAAACTTTCTCACCAGTTTATCATAAATCCACACAGAAGATTCTGAAAACAGGTGAACTCAGCTCAGTTATTCTGACATAAAAATGGTGAGACTAAAGGGGACATGAAGGAAAGCGTAAATCCCACAGGAGTAAAAATGGTGACAGGAAAGGGACAAGTTTGAAGAAAAGAGAAATTCTTAAAGTGAGGAAATCAGCTAAGGACCCATGATGTTAGCGTCTCTGAATGAGAGCTTCGTTGGCTGAAGCAGCCTGTGTTAGCTTTGGTGAGATTGATGCTGGCCAAGGAGAATGTTTCTTTGTGTTGTAAGTCTATAGAGAAAAGAGTTTGGCAAAATTACTTTCTCTCCCTTCTCTGCATGTAAAATCCATTATAAAACTCGAGGCCATCTCTCTACTCTAGAGAAAAGGAAAGTAGTTACAAAGAAGACAGAAGAATGTCTTCACACTTATGCACAAAAGAAGGCCAATTAGAGCCCTCAATGGGGGAGAGCTTCCGGAGCTTGTTTCTGTCAGGAACAAAGAAAAGCCTGGCCATGGACCAGCTGCCTTTAGACAAGGAGCCAAATCAGAGTCATAGGGATGAGACCTGAAGAGTGTGTTGGAATGTAATGCGGGCTGTCCTCTGCCATCTTCCTCCGGGCTTCCCCACGAGGGGAGCAGAATTCTCCCAGTTTGGCAGAGACGCTTGCTCACCCAGAGCACTTAGGAGAGGACACAGCCTAATTCTGTCTCCATTCTTCAAAGAACTGACTTTCCCCTCTGTGTTCCTCATTCTTTTTCTACTTTTCTATTCCAGGTTTGATTTTTCTTTGTTTTGAAAGTTCAAAAAATTAAATCTCCTTACTGTCTTCTAATTACTACGTCCTACAATGAACAGGAAGGGCTCTCCCCAATTAACTACTGACTCCAATGTCAGCACGTTGGGGGCCGGTGATGTTGTAGGAAGAGAGGTAGGGCAGGACCTAGGCAGGGAGGCAGGGAAGGAAGGAGGGTGTTGTACTTGGGGA